TAGACAAAACGGGTTTTAACAAAGACATTCAGTATAAACTAGTTTCAACTAGACAAAACGGGTTTTAACAAAGACATTCAGTATAAACTAGTTTCAACTAGACAAAACGGGTTTTAACAAAGACATTCAGTATAAACTAGTTTCAACTAGACAAAACGGGTTTTAACAAAGACATTCAGTATAAACTAGTTTCAACTAGTTAAACCGCGTTCTAACTAAAAACGGGTTTTGACTGTAACATATATACAGTACATATTATAAAATCCTCTATAAACATTTTCTGTAATTGAATGTATTTAACGTATTGTAATTGTACATCTTATGCACTTGAAATTGCGATACATAGAACTTTTATTTTGCAAGGCCCAAAATCGCATTTATTCTGTATTGGTTTCGTTTGATTTTATTCGTACAGAGCCGAACCCACAATGAGTATGTTTAAAACTGCCCCCAAAAGTGCTCACAGAGAGAAAAGAGTCACATTAAAAAAAGATATCAAATATAATATAATTATATTTTAAGTTGTATGCTATACATATTATAAAATCCTGTAGAAAAATTTTCTGTAATTGAGTGTATTTAACATATTGTAACTGTACATCTTATGCACTTGAAATTGCGATACATAGAACTTTTATTTTGCAAGGCCCAAAATCGCATTTATTCTGTATTGGTTTCGTTTGATTTTATTCGTACAGAGCCGAACCCACAATGAGTATGCTTAAAACTGCCCTCAAAAGCGCTCACAGGGCGGAAAGAGTCACATAATAAAAAGTTATCAAATATAATATAATTATATTTTAAGTTGTATGCTATTTAAACTATGAATTATTATAATATAAGTAGCCCAAGACGCCCCCTAGTGAGCGTTCTTTAGAAATTTCCATGAGGCACGGTTCCTTTGACTTTTTTGTTCCTATCAATATGCTGTACAGCTCTGTTAAAGTCCCAATGGTAAGATTTATCCTCCGAATGAAGAGGTGGCGACCCCCCCNAATTTTTTTAAATTGGTTTTATCAATTTTTTAAAAAAAGATCTTATGTTAATTCTTAGAAAAAAATTAATGAAATACTACACAAAATAAACAGTGAAGTATGTTTTGTTGGTTTGTAAAAAAAATGCTTATTACAAAATCTGACTTTAATTTTCTTTTTTGTACAAATGTTTGAGGTCCCTTGAAAGTCGAGGCTTTTTACTTGTAAATCCGGCCCTGATGGGACAATGTTAAAGCTGATGATTTTTAACACAAAGGACACAAATATGTATAGAACGATCTCACTCATTTGTTTCGATACCACATAATGACGTGTTCCGCTAACAATAATTGTTCTCCTTCTATAAAATTTCTCGATAAACAGCTACAGGCAGCATATGTGAGGGACGAACAGACCCACAATAAAGTGTTATTTTGAATTTTAATTATTGGTAACTTAAATTCGAGCGTTTTATCGAGTTGGGCTAAAAGCCATAAAAATTATTTCCCACGGAGTTTGTTCCTTGTTGAGTCGGATCCAGTTAGTCGGGGATGTGTCACCAGGAACTTTTGATAGAGAATCCATATTGGACGCGCGACCGTTAATTAACGGCAACCACCTGACCTCGTGAAAAAAACCCAAGAGGAATAAGAAGAGAAAAGAAAAAAGATCCCGAGGTCAGTCGTCATCCGAAGTCCCTCTACAAAAGTCGTCTTCACAAAGTCCGCTCAACATAAGTCGTACTCCCGAATTAAAACCGTGACCCAGGATTAAAACCGAAGAGAAAAAGATTGTGCCTGCTTAAGGATAACATCTCCACACCTCCGTGCCTCCACCCCCAGTGAACGGACAAGATCCAGAACCAGTAGATTGAACTTTCCATCGGCGNAAAGTGGACAAAGTGGTATGACATAACGATAGAAAAGGAAATTACACTCTTCAAGAACTAAATAACTTTATAGGAGGTACTGCAAAGAATTTTACTAAAAAGTTTGGAATTCATTTTGCAACAACGGGATTTATAATTCATTTAGAACCTGGATATAAAATTGATCTGAGTAAAGGTAAACTCCACGAGATATTAGGTTTTGAACCAAAGATATATGAAGATGAAGAACAGAAAGGAAAATATATAGCAAATATTTCAAAAGGAATCGATGATATTCATATTCATTGCGATGTAATCAGAGGAGTAGAGTACAACGATTTTACAATGATATTCTTTATTCTTTCACACCGTCTCATCCACCTGGAAGTTTGATAAAAGTTGAAGAGATTAATCCCATATTTGCTGACATCAATAGAAATCATTATATTTATAGAATTCGAATGT